CCCGGGGCTAGCGGGGAACTGAACGGGGACGTGACGCGTTTTAAACGTGCTTTTAACAGCAAGATTGCCCCGGGGGTCGGGATTTCGATGAATTGTTTTCGAAGCGGGGCAAAGAGCGGGGATTTTAACGCGCGTTAGAACATGTATGAGGTTGGCAACTTCCTTTGCATGAAAAGTTTTTAAAAGAAACTTATTACACATGTTTTTCTCGGTCCAGTTAGCCTTATGCAGTACGCTAATGCGTACACAGGATTGTGCAAAAATTAACCCTGTGTATCACAGAAAATTTGATTTAAAGGTCTTTTGTTTTGTTATTTACTACTACCAAAATAGCSGGGCAACAGTAGCGGGGATTTTAACAATTAATATGCCCCGACTACCGGAGGAAAGGTCATATTTTAACACCACTTAAACGTTAAATTCCCCGGTATTCCCCGGGGGTAGGGGGGCGGCGGGGGTTTCAATTGACTAGTGCATAAATTATCAGAATTTTAAAGTTTAGTACCAGACCCTTGCGTATTTGCCTAATTGAAACAACTCCCCTAGTGACATTGCCRTGAGAGAATTGAAAACTCATTAATCAGAAAGCAATTTTGTGGTAATTTTGTGAGCACCAAGCCATTTAAATTTTGATTGGCAATAGTGTAGAATTGCAAAATGTATCAATCGCCACAAAGCCTGTCTCTGAGTGGTTTTGTGCTATATTTACTGATAAAGCACAGAGTCGCTCTCAGAGGTACGGCGACTTAGGTTCCCATGGTAGGCATGCACTATAGATAGCCCTAGTAAYCTGCATATATAACTCCTACAGCCAAATATATACCCGAAACTTTCAAGAATTGTACTTTTAACCTTTTTGTTTGTCTATCGTTCACCTTGTCATAGTTTCTTGGTCTGATTCRTTTTACTCGAAAAATGCACGCACTAAATTTCAATCCAATTTCTGAAAACAAAATTCCATGAATACGAAATGYTGTTCGTAATTTTACCCTTTCCTTTTCTAATGGTACGTATATCGTACGTCTATGCGCGTAGTAAGCTAATACACTAGAACGAGTCTACTAGTTAAATTGCATATAATTGTTTATCATATAATTATCTATAAAATACATATATTTCTCCATTACGTAAAATTTTTACTAGTGAAAATAACATTCAAGATTTCTCTATTTAGTGGAAGTAAGAAAAAAGGTATTTTACGACATAATTTGCTTTCATTGATAATTATATGATAAACAGAATATTACATGATCGATTGGAGATACGAATTTTATCTTCTCGTGTTGAAAATCTCGCCACGCTCACTCGTGAGAGATCTTTTCAACGCTCGAAGATAAAAACCGTATCTCCGCACGCCCATGTAATATCCTCTATATTATTATATGACCCGTATTTCGGCCCTACACGCGCTCTTAAAAAACCTTCGGGAAATGGTCACGTGATGAGGGCCGTACGCCTTTTCGCGACAGGGCCGTACAAACCCCTATCTTCCCGGCTTGAACTTCCGCGCGCTTTCTTTTGATAAGATGCTTATCGACTGAGTTAGGTCAGGTTTCAGTCAATAAGTACATAATCTTTTGACTTTTGTAATCTACTTCTCACAGAGTTTTTCAATCTATGGTTTCCCTGTAGCTTTCAAACTATGGTTGCTTCCTTGGAAAGAGACCTCAACTAATAAATACTAGCGAAAGAGTCCTCGAAACGAAGCCGTCAGGACAATAAGTATTTATACATTGTAAAATATCTCCTATATTATTTCTATTTTTTCAAATAGTTCTTTAGCTATCAGTTATCGATTGGTTATCGTTCATCGTTATTCTCTAGGGGTGACGCGAAGGGCCAGGGGTTGAGATAAGGGGCGTGGACCGGATCGAAACACTTGGATTGTATAGATGAGCAATGATGCTGCACGACAAATTTGGATGTTTTTGTTCGGATGTTTTGTTTAATTGGTCTTTAGATAAACAGATTTCCCTATCCTTAGAGACTATCCCGATTGTTAACATGTTTTTAAAAGTATCAAACTATTCTAAGAGAGTTTTTTTGTCTTCTTAATTTACATTTTTTTCAAAGAACCTATTATATTATAGCCATTTTGAAACGTTTATATCACCACAANAATCTTTTGACTTTTGTAATCTACTTCTCACAGAGTTTTTCAATCTATGGTTTCCCTGTAGCTTTCAAACTATGGTTGCTTCCTTGGAAAGAGACCTCAACTAATAAATACAAGCGAAAGAGTCCTCGAAACGAAGCCGTCAGGACAATAAGTATTTATACATTGTAAAACATCTCCTATATTATTTCTATTTTTCAAATAGTTCTTTAGCTATCAGTTATCGATTGGTTATCGTTCATCGTTATTCTCTGGGGGTAACGCGAAGGGCCTGGGGTTGAGATAAGGGGCGTGGACCGGATCGTAACACTTGGATTGTATAGATGAGCAATGATGTTGCACGACAAATTTGGATGTTTTTGTTCGGATGTTTTTTGTTTAATTGGACTTTAGATAAACAGATTTCCCTATCCTTAGAGACTATCCCGATTGTTTACATGTTTTTAAAAGTATCAAACTATTCTAAGAGAGTTTTTTTTGTCTTCTTAATTTACATTTTTTTCAAAGAACCTATTATATTATAGCCATTTTGAAACGTTTATATCACCACAAAGCTTCACGACGGTCAATTTCATTCCAAAGATCTCCTATTGCTTTGTTACAGTTTATGTCCATCCAGTCACGCCAGGCAATCGGAAACTGCATCCTTTTCCTGGAGAAGCTCTTTAGCCGTTGCATCCATCTTTTCTCGAGAGAAATCCGAAACGGACAGTCCCTGAACGATTGACCATTCACCATTGCTGTCGATCTTGACAGGGAATGAGTATACTATGCCTTCGGGGATACCATATGACCCATCAGAGACCACACCCATTGAGACCCAATTGTTCTAAATCAAAATGATTAGAGGCTAGAGGATGGTGTTCATTTTAATGAAACAAGGAAATACACTACACGTTTTTTGTGACTAATAAGCTGAATACTGAGCAAAAAAGATTTCAGTAACATCCAAGAATTCTACTAACCTCGCTTGTTCCAAAATACCAGTCCCTCATGTGATCACAGATCGCTTTTGCTGCTGACATGGCACTAGACAGCTTACGAGCACTGATAATGGCTGCACCACGTTTCTGAACAGTCTKAAAGTTAAAGTTACGGTTAAACCTGAACTTGTTTGGAAGGGTGGTGGAGGAGTTGAAAGAAACTGAAGTGGTAATATAGAAAAGGAAAAAGGGATGTAAAGAATGCTCTTCTCAATYGCTATATTCCATTAATTCTGACAATTATTCCTATGATAAAATTTTTCAAACACAATGTATGCCATTTAGCTTTACATCGTTATCTAACAAGAGAATGAGGAAAGAGAGTACAGCTCAATTTAAGTGGTTTGAGACTYAGTTCTGTTGACTTCTAGGTTGATTCTCGCACTGAATGGAGGRRAAAAAATGAGCAAACACGCATGCACGATACATGTAAAAGGCAAGCAATTCAAGAAAGATAWCAATAACTATAACATACTTTGATGAAATCACCATTCAAATAATCATCATCCTTGAGGGCATCCCGGATAGGAACAGAACCACCATCCACAGCTACTGTCCCGTGGTTAACATCAGGGTACTGGGTGGAAGAGTGGTTGCCCCAGATAATAATGTTTGAAACATCATCAACTCTCTTACCAAGACGTGCAGCAATCTAATAGAATTGAATACAATAATAATAATATATAACAACATTTTTACAAACACCCCTTATTTGATGATTCAAAATCCTGGCAAATTTAACATAACAGTTGTCACAATAAACCAACCAGAAAGCACTGTCACTATGTGGTTAAAGGAGCACTGAACTGCAGATTTCTTGTAAACATAMTACAAGCGCATGACAAGCGAGTTGAAATTTATAAAAGATGAAAAAAACAACAACAACAACAACAACAGCAGCGGAAGACGCGGAAGACCGATTTAAATCGAGTGATTGTTGTGTGCCAAATGTGTATTGTTGATAAACTATCTGGGAACAGAGGAATCAAAACATTTGCAAGCAGAAGAGTTCCAGTTTATTATATTTGCCAATCATCACATACTCATGCCAACATGATTTCTTTTTGTTACTGCCATTATCTATGCTTTGGTTGTTAGAATATTTGCTACTGCGGCATTTGTATCTTAGATCTGTTGTTGATACTGTTAGCTTGTCATTGATTAGCTCTGTACGCACCTGTGAGGTTGCCCTATTCTGATCCAGTCTCGTTAAACAWGAGAAGTTCTTTGCTGGGATACTAGCTGCCATTTTGTGTGTGATGTAGCAGTTGGTATTGGCTGGGTTACCTACTACAAGAACCTAAAATGAAGAATATAGACGAAATGTTAAGTTGCTTTGTCTTTGCAGACTATGACCGACGCTACAACATTTGGAAACATGGCATTAAAACACAAATGAAAACCCAAGTGAAACTGAGTCTTCAACATGTTTAAATACTTTCAGAAACAATTACAAATGTGATTGCAGAGAAAATACTATATTCATTTTCATAAGAARCCAAAGGAAAGTTGTTTCTAGGCCCTTACTTCTGTGCATTGGACATACACATCAGAGCACATGCACTTGSAAAATAATACTGTATAATTCATCATTTCCATGAGAAAACTAGTGTATATAGGAGTATAATATCTTGATATTGATTTATAAGATAACTTAGATACTACGTGCATTCTGATTGGATGAGTAATGTGTTTGCATGACAGTATGTAAACATGGTTTTGATTAGTCTCCTTCGCAGCCTACCCTTTTGTCGGGCTTCCTGTCCCTCAGGAAGCCCGACAAAAGGGTAGGCTGCGAAGGAGACTAGGTTTTGATGTCACTAGTGTGAATTTTAAAACTACATGTAGAATTAGTCATGGTAAAACCCCTAGCAATAAACCCTTTTAGCGATCTGTTTTACGCTGTGTTAGTCTCAAACCCATGTAATAAATTCTTTTATTCACAACAGCCCGTGCAAATGCAAGAGATGCGCGAGTATCAAGACAATGGAACTAGTTTGCAATTTCACGAATTTTATATTTCTGAATATTTTAGCACACAATTGAGGCTAACACAGCGTAAATGAGATCGCAAAACTATTTAGCCATAAACTTAGAAAATAGTTAAGAAATATTCTGCATGTATTTCTTG